GATTTTTTTTAAAGTTGGGATCAAGAATTTAGGAATACGTTGGAGAACAGTCATTCATCAGCCTGGTGCCTATTTCAACTAAATAAATTAGTTATTTAACATTTCAGAAGCGTTTTGTTCATTTCCTACAAAGTGCGTTATTTCATGTATGACAAAGTAATATTACATGCATCTCAATGGAGGTCGAGTAAAGCACAAATACAGTTCAATGTTTTGAATTAAGTACACTGTTAAAAATAAATGAAAATAATCCATATAATAAAATGAATTATGTTTCTGTCTGTCTATTGTCGATAAACTCTGATTTACTGGGTAGATTTCAACCAAATTTTGCATGCAGATAATCTATGAACCAAATAATGCTATAATCTATATAAAGTTGACTTAGGTCAATGCTGGAAGGTTAAAATAAGGCCAAAGCACTCATTTCTTATGGAAGTTAAATACTTATTCTCACGTGAAAAATATAATAATAAGGAAAATAAATCGATTTTTGGTAAGTAAATCGATTTTTGGTAAGTAAATCAATTTTTTGGTAAGTAAATCAATTTTTTTGGTAAGTAAATAAATACGTGATGACTTCGGATAGTCATCATAATAGACTGTACAAATAAGTGTCTGTCAGTTTGTCTTTCTAGTTAAACAAAATCAGTACCCGAGCAACATCGGATACTTCTACTAGTAAATAAATAAAGATAGGAACAGCAAAACTGTTTTCAACGATGCTGCTCAAGATAACATGTAAAACGCCGAATACTTCGCCATATTGCAAAATGTATCAAGCCCAACATTCGACGCCCTTTGAGGATCAATATGAAATATCTGGAAATCCTTTGAAAACTGACTTCAAAGGTTATTCTTTTTACTACTGAATACCGAGCTAACTATGGATGACCTGATAGACTTAGAAAAGAGCAACGCCTTATCCGCTTCAGTTAGCGATTATGGTTTCAGGTGGAATTCTAAGAAATGACTTTCTTGCTCCTTATCATGTAATATATCGTGTAAAAATGACTTCTTAGTTATATATTGAATTTTTGGAGGTCAAATTTTCAGTTTGGGTTTGTAAACACGTTTCTTCATTTATATACAAAACTTATCTTAATGCAAGTCATTAAGTCAGTGTTTCTCAACCGGCGCGCCCGGGCGCACTAATGCGAAGTCAATGTCACTAATGTCCAAGTCAAGTCTGTTATTTGATATTTTAAACTGGATGCTAAATTCCTTAATCTTTAAGGAGTGGATAATCCTTTCCTATTTGTCTCCGTCAAGGGATTTAAATCAATCATTATCGGCCTCTCTCTAAAAAAAAAAAAAAAAAAAGCAGATTCCTTCAAAATCCATTAAAATTAAAATTGTACTGCTAATCTTCTTTGACAATGCTGAACCAAAATTTCTTGTTTCCTTATTAAAATTAAAAGTACACCACAGAGTCTTAGTTATTTTACAAGTATGCTCTGAAGTAAAAGAACAAAAAAGTTGAGAAGCACTGCATTTGATTGTCGACATGCATTGGTTGACGTGGGCGATCACTGCTCTCCACAGCTTTCCATCCTTTGTAGTTCTTAGGTATTTTTTGCTGTCTCTCCTAATCCCTGTTGCGTCAAGCAATTACACAAGCTTGTTAGGTATGTTATTCGCTATGTTCCTCTGTCTCTGAATAGGAATCTCAATTTCCCCAAGCCTTCATTATGCGCTCAAGAAATTTCAATTCTTTTTTGTTTTTTTCTGATTCTAAGTATGTCTCCTTTTTTGTTGTCGTTTTCCGTAAAATTTCCTTGTTACTCACATGTTCAATCCATGGTATTCTCAGCATCCTTTGGTAGAACCACATTTCTATTACCTCATGCCTCTTCTTCCTCCGTGAGGCGATTTTACAACATTCACTGCCATAGAGGAGGATTGATATTATATAACAATGCAGTACTCTGTTATTGTTTCTAACAAAATTTTCCTGTTTATTAATACTTTGCTTAGATTTTAGAAGGCATCTTTCGTTATTATATACTGATAAAACATTTTCTAGATACTCTATTTCCTGTTTACACTATTTGCATTGTTCAGACTGTTGTCCTCATCTTTATGAAAATATCCGAGACATTTCGGCCGTTGTGCACTACGCCGCTCTTTAGGTGATATACGTTGGAGTTTCGAATTGAACCCTTTATTTAGTCCAAAGGGGTAGATTTTTCTAATTCCACGTGCCATGCCTTTGGATATCTCAGTTTTACTTAATTCTCTTTAGTAACTCAACTCTCCAGACTTTTATTCCCTCTGCTGTGGTAGAACTCACAGCTCTTTGGGTCATTGCCAGGTCAAGTCACTTTTTGTATCAATCAACCAACGCTTTTATCCACTGACCCACGTGGAATTAAAACAATTAATTCCCGTGGACTAAATAAAGGGTTAACTTCGATGTTCCTGAAGAAGACCGAAATGTAAAACAGCCGAAACGTTGTGAATATGGCAAGGAAGATGGGGACAACAGTCTGAACAGTGTAAATAGTGTAAATAATTACAATACTTCATCTCAGAAATATAGATAAGTCCTGAAGAAGGCCGAAGCGTACAACAGGCGAAATGTCGTGAATATGGAAACGAAGATGAGGACAACAGTCCGAACAATGTAAATAGTGTAAATATCTCATCTCAGAAATATAAACAAATATTTAAATGTTCGCACATGCTTGATTATGGTGTCCCTAATTTGTAGTTCGTAACTTGGGCTGTTTCCTTTTGCTGACAACCATGTGCATCAGAAATGATAGAATATTAAACAGATTAGTAAGTTCTCCAGACTTAATCCAAGTGAAAATCTGTGGAACATCTACAAGCGGAAGGCATATCAACATTGGTAACTAAATAAGCTAAACAAGCACGGAAGCCATGACATCCAATATTTAACAAAATCAATGGATTATAGGTTAATATGTAATTAAAGGGAAAGGATTTTTCAACGTAAATGATATGGAAGAATTGTGTTTTTTTTTTTTTTGGTTTTTTTTTTTTTGGTTTTTTATTTTTTGTAATTTATAACAAAATGGCTTGTTCTTTTTTATAGCCTTCATTTAATTTTAATTTATTTAAGTCATTTAATTGCACTTTATTTATTTTTACTTTTTGATAATGCGCTTAATTCAAAACACTTCACTGAATTCGTTTTTACCCGTCCTTACACGATCTTACACGATTTTTTAAAATCATTTCACCCAAAGTAAGGCAATAAAGTCCCTAAGACGCAAGGAGGTTACTGAGTGTTAGAGAATATGAGAAAAATATACTATTAAGGAGAGAGGACAATAAAACTATAACCATTGGCATTACACTCAAATTTTTAAAGATGAAAGTTGACTGGAAAGCAAAAGGCTTGAAGGGAGTTCCTCAAGCGAAAATTACAAGTGAAGAAACTAATAGAATAGAACTTACGGTTATATCTAGCCAATTCACTGCAAAACGATGAGCCCTTGCTGCCTATCTAGTACTAGGCTTAAATTCATAAAGTCTACGTGCCAAAGAGGAAAACTCGCATGAACAATTATCATGAAAATACTTATAGAAAATAAATAAATAAATAAATAAAAATATGTATAATTTTTCTTTTGTCTTTATTCATTTTTCTTATCTTTTTTTATTTTATTTTATTTTATTTTTTTATTTATTTTTTTTTCTGTCATTTTACTGCAAGAAAGGCAATGAAGCCACGAAGACGCGAGTGTTAGAGAATATGATAAAAGAACGCATTATTATGGGGAGAGGACAATAAAAGCACAGAAATAAAGAAGACAGAAAATAACGGTTGATATTTCATTTTGAAGATCAATGCTGACAGAAATGCAAGAAACCGTAAAAGAGTTCCACAGACGAGATGTATTTCTGTATTCGACGGTGTCTTTGTTAAACACTTTTGCTATTTCAACGGTTATTTGCCTTTTCCCAACAGTGTGATCATCTAATCTTCCTTAGCCTGAAATAAATCATTTTTGTAGTCTATAATTATTTTTCAGTGGTCACCTAATAATTTTTCACTCTTACTATGCAAGAGATAAACAAAAATGGTTTCCTTTCGTTTACGAGTGCGCAGAATAACTTCATTTTTGCTACGTTGGCGCAGTTTGGAGTTGCTAAATTTTCTGTCTCACTTGAAATAGAATTTTCAATACCATAGCCCTTTTGCACCATATCGCACAAGATTTATGTACATAAAGAGAGAGGAAGAAGAGTTGAAGTTGAAAGAAAAATGTGCAAATTGTATCGGTCCGCTTCAGTCACTTTCCCACCGCCTTAGCATAGCTTCCTGGTACCTTTTTCTATGGTAATTGTTTTGATGAGCTTTCCTCTTTGAATCTTTGACTTTACAAATTTAAGCGCAGTACTAGATTGGGAGCTAGGTCTCATCATTTTACAGTTGAAATGGCTAGATATAGCCGCAAGTTCTATGCTAACAGTTTCTTCTTTCGCACTTCTCGCTTGTGAAACTCTCTTCTAGCTTCTTTCTTTCCAGTCAACTTTGATCTTTAAAAAATTAAATTCAATGACAATCTGTTTTCTTAATTCATATCCTTTTTAATGGAATCTCTCCATAATATTTTTTCTCAAATTCTTTCACACTCAGTACCTCACTTGTGTCTTAATGGCTTTATAGCCTTACTTGGGGTGAAATAATATTTTTTTTTTAAATTACACTATGGGTGTGGGAAACTGACTGAATCCGAGATGCCAGGTCAGGACTGATAACATTGCAGATTCTTCTTAAGTATCTAGCAAGAATCTCTAAATGCACAGGAGACGTACCGGACCAAACATGGCAGCAATCGGAAGGTTTTCTACATCTGTTCCAGGCAGTGCCAATACGAAAGAGGTTTGCTTTTCCATATTGACTACAGGAAAAAGCCTGGCAGCTTTTATAGATGTCAGACTTTCAGAGCTGTGTCTCCTGCTCTTTTACTGGGGCTTGATTCGTCAAGGAAGGTTTCCTCCTGATTCTTTGCTCCCCCGTCACCATGTCGGCTACCCCCATTTTTCTACTGACTGTGATTCGATCCACAGGAGTTGAAGGAGTCTTGTATCTCTTTAGAGAAACCCTAATTCTCCATCGTGAACTCGTGACCAGTTCTCCTCCAAGGGTGTTTCTTTCGAAGTTGATAATCCATCATCCACCCGACGTTTCCAGACCAACGCACTTTTGCAGCATCTTTCACACGTTTTTGCTGCTTCTTTATCTCTTTCTTTAGCTTACTTTCATTCTCTCTCCTACTTCTTTCCCTATTGTTCTATAGACTTCTCACTTGTTCTATCTCTTCCTTTCTCCTCTCCCTCCTTCTCTCTATCCACTCTCCTTTCACACATCATGCCTCTCTCTATATAAATCATTCCCTCTTCTAACCATAATCTTTCTCCTTCTCTGCATATTTTCTCTTATATTATCGCTTTTCTTTTCTTTCTTTTTTTCTTTCTTTCTTTCTCACTCTCTCTGCTCTCTCCCCAACCCCTCTCTCTCTCGTGCGCGCGCTTTCTATCGTACGCGCGGGCGTTTACTCGGATTCTTTTGCCTTTAACAATGTCCTTTTCTTGATTCTTGATTCTTCTTTCTTCCCCCCACTCTCAAATTCGATCTTTCATATCTTTGACTCTCTCCCCTTGTCTAACCTTCCCCACTAACTTGTCTTCCTCTCTCTCTCTCTCTCTCTCTCTCTTCATCTCCCTCTCCCCTTTCTTTCTCTCCCCCCCACACACACATACACACACTCTCCCTTACTCTCCCTACTTTATTCTCTAAAATTTGCGAATCTCTTTTTCGGCTACTTGCTTTGGAGTCAATTTTGATCGTCAAAAATTAAAATGCTATGCCAATCTTTATTTTCTGTCTTCTTAATTCCTGTTCTTTTATTGTTTTCTCTCCTTAATAATGTTTTTTTTTTTTTTTTCATATTGTTTAACACTCAGTAGCTCTGTGGAACAGACTCCCAAACGAATGTTTCCCCAGATCACTACAATCTTAACATGTTCAAGCCGATAGTTAACAGTTATCTTCTCTTCATATCCTTATAAACTAACCATCTACCTCGAGTGACCACCGGGTCATGTAAAGAGTGAATCTTACTGTAAAGAATATTGTTTTAGTGGCTTTATTGCCTTACCTACGGCGAAATGATTAAAAAAAAATTTCTACATCTATGCTCGACTTCCCTCGCCTTTAACAAGTAAAAAGAACTCGTATTTTTTCCCTCTCCTCTATCAGTAGTTTTACACTCTTCATTCAAGTGTCCCCTGTTTCTTCCTCCGCTTGATCCATCCCCATCTCCTCCTCCTGATCATCTTGTTGCCATTGTTATCTTCGTCATAAGCATTCCGCTTTTGCCTATTTCTATTCTTTTTTCTTCTTTCTGATTCTTGTAAAAGAGGTCAGCACATATGCAAGCAAGGAAACGGTGAAAGGCCGAACATGGCGAATGGCTGGATGCGCGCGCGCGGCACTTGACTATTGATTGGCCTTGTTGATTCTATTTACTGAAACGAAGAATAAGGCAAGACAAACATGCTCACTGACAACCTCACAAACACACTAGGAGAACATTAAACACACACATAGATGCGACACACACGAGTATAACCAAGAATGACATGATTAACATCACGTAACAAAATAAACACAGCGTATGTATATATATATATATATATATATATATATATATATATATACACGCATATATCTATCGCATTCTGTTCATAGCTGCCTGTCTCTGCATATCTATCTATCTATTTCATGTGTTCATATCTATCCTTCCATATATCTATCAGTCTATTATAGCTATCTCGTTATATGCATATCTCATCTATCTCAAATTTTGATATCAATATATCTATCCTTGCCGATACATGTCTAGCTAGATCTCTCATTATAGTTATATCTATCTATCTATCTATCTATCTATCTATCTATCTATCTATCTATCTATCTATTTCATGTGTTCATATCTATCCTTCCATATATTTATCAGTCTATCCTATCTATCTCCTTATAGCATATCTATCTATCTATCTATCTATCTAACTTTTTCATATCAATATATCTATCCTTGCCGATACATATCTAGCTAGGTGTCTCGTTATAGTTATATCTATCTACCTATCTATCTCGTTTGTTCATATCAATCCTTCCATATATCTATCAATGTATCATATCTATCTATCTATCTATCTATCTATCTATCTCATTTGTTCATATATACCCTTTTATATATCTGTCAGTTTATTCATATATATCTCCTTATATTCATACCTATCGATATACACGAACGCACATAAGCGCATCATGCACACGCACACGCGTGTTGATAGGAGCGTACACGCACACAATGAAAGAAGAAGAAAAATCAACCTTGCACCAATGAAAGGCGCATAAATTATTTTTCAACTCAATATAAAAGAAAAACAAAAACATAAACAGTCAATTGATATCCCCTGACGAGTGGACGAAGCGTTGCCGGAAGGTGCCTCTATGAAACTCTAGAGTCAGGATGCTGACGGTAACATCAATCAGCTAAGTGACAAATTTTATATTTATTAATAATAATATATATATATATATATATATATATATATATATATATATATATATATATATATATATATATATATATTTATATATATATATTTTTTATGACATTTTTATTTTTTTTTTAGATACAAATATTTAAGTAAATTCTCTGTTTAAAATAAACAGTATTAACAACATTGAATGTCCGAGAAATTGGTCATAGAAAATATGCGTCCTCCGACAGGAATAGAACCTGTATCCTATTCGGAACCGTGCCTGGCGATTTCGCCCCAGAGGAGCGTTTCAGTTAGCAAGGTCGATTTTAATGTTTTTAAAAGTTTACTTACTTGGGTTTCCGGTTCCTTCTAAAGTCATTTCCTTCACTTTTACTTCGTGTAGTCTCTTGCGTCTGAGTGGTTAAAAAGAAAATGCTCATAAATAATGGAGTATTCCGTTTTGATTTCGAGAAAAGAGGAGAAAGGAAGAAGAAAATGAAAGAAAGAAAAGATAGAAGAGGCAATAATGCTGTCATGTCTGTAACGTCTGCTTCCGTGAAATGGAAGAAAAAACTTCTTCAGTTTCAAATCTTTTTATTTTTACCCTGTTACGTCTTTAAATGATGACCTGCATTTTTACTTAAGTTTGTTATTGAAGTATTTTGTTAAAGTTGTTAATCTTAAATATTTGTCGATGCAATAGGGGAATTTCTACGGGTATTTTATTGTCGTAGAACTCTCAAGGGAATTATTTAATCTTTAACTTAAAAATTAGGATTCATCAGAAAATTCAAATAGGAAAACCGTGAAATTTTTACGAGTACAATTAGTTTAATATAATTAAAAGAAATCATTATTGGAATGACGAATAACTTGAAAAAGATTATATTGATTTTCTTTTACTGTTAGAAGTTACAAAACCAACTGCCCTGAAATTGGTTTGGAAACTTTTTTCTATGTGCCGGGTCCCTTCAAGTTGTGGACGATCATAGCCCCCCCCCCTCGCAATTTCCTGTCTTTTGACAGCTCTTAGTAAAATTACTAATCCCTGTTTTGCCAAACAAGCTTATTAGGTTGTTTTGTGTGCCTATCCTTTGTCTTGGGAATGTTAAATTTTCTAACCCATTTTTTCCTCGATATGTGCCTTAGAAACATCTATCAAATTCAACTGTTTCCTTTATTTCCATTCTCCCTAAATCTTCATTATTGTAGCAATATTCTGAATTTAATAATTACAATAGCAAACATATAAAGATTCTCAGAGGCATGTAAAAAGGTAACATAAAATAGAATCAAAACACACACTTACGCACACATAGTAGGCTTCATGTAGAATCTGCAAAAAATAAGATATAAAAATAAGATTAGAAATTTGCAGCAGTAGTGAAAAAAACAAACAAAAAAAAACAGACCGTAGTGTATAAAATGAGAATTTTAATAAAGTTGCTGTTGGTTTCATTACATTCAAAAACTTCCTCTGAAAACAGATAAATATGTGGCCTAGCAACAGGTTTGTGTCAGTCAACGCAAAATTTATCATATCGCCTGTACATATCTACGCGAAGCATCTTGTGGTCAAATAATTCACCCGTCACTGAAACTAACATCTCTATGTCTATATGCCTGTATTTCCTGTAAACTGTGAATAATTATATGTACCAAAAAAATATATGAACTTTTATCTATATTATCCATTTCTACTAAAGTATTCAAAAAATAGGACTGTTTACTCTGAAAAGATGCATACGTGGAAAATCAATCTTTGGAATTTTAAATTTATTCAGTTATTAGAAGTTTATTTACTATATTCATTGAGACTATGACAAAACACCAAGACTGATACATACATATATATATATATATATTTCGTCATAGTCCAAATGAATATAGCTAATAAACTTAAAAGTTTATTTGCTATGTTCATTGGGACTATCTCGAAATACATGCATACGTGTCGTCTGGATTTTTATCAACGACAAAAAGTTTTTCGGCATTTTTTTCTGTTAAATTCATACATAAAGATTCTTTCATAAAGAAGTGTTTAGATTAGAATACGTTGTATTGAACTACAATTTTAAAATATTATTTTTACTTTTAATTACTAATAGACTATATTTCTTTTTAAAACAAATAAATGTAATAGAATTACTTAAATTATTTAAAAATTATTATTACAAAATCAAATATAAATATGTATATTATCAACTCATATTTTTTAAATTTATTTTATTTTTTAATTTTATTTAAGGATAATTTTTGGCAATGTCGGCAAGAATAGCTATTTCATTTCTTTGATTCATTAAATTTTTATTTTTTATAAACCTAGTAATATATAGTTTCACATGTATGCACAAAGGACATTTGCTAAATTCACTGGGACTATGACGAAATACAAAACTGCTATAATATATATATATATATATATATATATATATATATATATATATATATATATATAAGCGCTCAATAACATAGATAAAGCTAACATATTTAGGTGGATTGATGTGAGTTTGTGACCCTGGGTTTCACGCTTTTGCGATCGTCAGACAAACTCTCTCTCTCTCTCTCTCTCTCTATATATATATATATATATATATATATATATATATATATATATATATATATATATATATATATATATAGTTGCATGGATAGTAGTTTTGTAACTCCGGGTTTCACGCTTTCACGATCTTCCGACAAACTCTGTAAACCGCATAGGTTAGCTCTATCACGGATATTGAACACTTTCCACTAAATACCGCGCATATAAATATATAGTGTGGAAGGAAACAAATATTCGTACACCTACAAATTTTTCATTTATTGTATTTCAACTAATGAATAAACATACTTTTCATATAATTAACTGTACACAGATGCATAATAACTAAATAGACATAGAAAACAGGAAACATTTCGACTTAATAGAAATAAATCTTATTTATCGATTTTAATTGGTGAAAAAAGTATTCGTACAATACTAATTTCAGATTTTAAAACTTTTAACTTGCTCTAATACTCTAGATTTTTCAAGTGTAATATTCTATAATGTTCCAATAATATTATCAGTAGTTATTTTTAGCATAAAAAATACAAACAGAACACCCTGTAAATGATATTCGTGCAAGAAGTTTGCCATCATAGCAAGAGGTACAGAACTGACATATTCGCAAAAAGAACTGATTGTTAAGCTCTGTAAAGAAGATAAAAGTTACACGAAAATCTCAGACAACCTGAATATTCTATTTACTACCATTAGTTCATTCATTTCAAGGTATAAAAACTCAAAACTTTTGAAAACGAAAGAAGAACAGGTGCTCCATGGAAGATTTCTTCAAGATCTTTGAGGAAATTAATGCGTCAAATTAAACAAGATCTAATGGTTACACATCAAGAGTTGCAGGGTGATTTGCTTTCATCTGGAATCTATGTCACTAAATGGACAATAAGCAATGAAATTTATAGGAACAATCTAAAGCCACGCTCCCTTCGGAAAACTCCACTGCTATTAAAGAGATACAGAGATGCCAGGTTGATATTCGTTCGGGAACATAAGGGTAAGGAAAAATCGTATAGGAAAAGAATATTATAGACAGACGAAACCAAAATTTAGTTGTTTGGACCTAATTCTAGAATCGTGTATGGAGGAAAGATGGCGATGCCTTCAAACAAAAGAACACAGTTCCAACAGTGAAATTTGGTGGTGGCAGAATTATGCTTTGGGGTTGTTTTTCTGCAAAAATTACTGGCAATATATCAGTAATCGATGGTAGAATGAATGCCGCAGAATATTAAAATATTTTGGAAGCAAATTTAATGATTTCGGTTGAAAATCTTGAACTTCCTCCTAATTGGATCTTCCAACAAGATAACGATCCTAAGCACACTGCAAAATCTACGAAGAAATGGCTTGCTGAAAATAATTTAAATATCCTGAAATGGCCAAGTCAGTACCCAGATTTAAACCCAATCGAGAATCTGTGGCGTTATTTAAAAATTCAAATCAAATCAAAAACTCCAGCAAACATCCCTGAAGACCAAATGCAAAGATGAATGGAACAAAATACCAACTAAAATTTGCAAATCACTAATTGAGAACTACAAGAAGAGGTTGGTTGCTGTAGAAGTGAATAATGGCGATTCTACAAAGGATTAAATGAAGATTATGTATTCTTTTTGTATTGTACGAATACTATTTCCACACATTAAAATGGATAAATGGGATTTATTTCATTAAATTATTTTTTTTCTGTTTTCTATGCATATATAGTTATTAGGCATCTGCGTACAGTTAATTATATGAAAAGTATGTTTATTCATTAGTTGGAAATACAATAAAAATTTGTATGTGTACAGATATCTGTTTCCACCCACTGTGTATGTATATATATATATACATACACAGTGAAAACAGATATCTGTAATATACAAATTTATTATATATATATATATATATATCAGTTTTGGCATTTCGTCATAGTTCCAATGAATATAGTAAATAAACTTCTAATGATATATATATATATATATATATATATATATATATATATAGAGAGAGAGAGAGAGAGAGAGAGAGAGAGAGAGAGAGAGACTCAAAGGTTGTATACTAATTTTTATAGTGTATAGGGATTTTTTTTTTTTGATTTACACGTTTCAGTATTCCTAATGTCAACCAGGCTTCTCTTTGCCCAATGAAAGTTCATCCTGAAATGCCAGCGAAAGTACGAAAATGGAGTTAAATTTAAAAGGCGGGTATCAAAGAGAGTTTCATTCGGATCCACCCACGGGATTGCAATCTCACGAAATAGAGATAAGTTTGAAGCTGGTGGTACTGTACACAATGTGCAGAAGTACCGTGCCGGGAGACCACAAGTATCAACCACGCCCTGTGAAGCAAGAAAGCGTGATGGAGAGTTTTCAGAAAAGCCCAAGAAATCTGTTGAAATGTTGATTGCTGCTTGTAATTCGATTTCGTCGCATTGTCAGCAATTTCTGGATCATAATGGCCGTCAATTTGAAAAAATCTGATGAAAAAAATTTAAGAGCAAACATTTATAATAGATACTGTCTTCATATATACAAGGGAACCTCAATTGTCGAAAGTTACACATGTCGAACAAATCGGTTTTCGAACAGAAAATTCGAGACGAAAATGCTTCGGTTATCGAACAAAATTTCGATTGTCCAACAACATAGCCGAACCGAGTTAAAACGAACGGAATACTTTCTGAGGCTACTACTGTGTTGTCTACATTTGTGTGTTGTGCCGTGATTTTCTTTTCCAATTTTATTGTACTGTGACTTTTTTTTTTTATCTACATTGATTCCTATTGGAAAAAAAATTACGTTTACGAACATTTCGGGTTACGAACGGCCTTCAGGAACGAATTAAATTCGTGAATCGAGTTTCCACTGTATCATTTAAATTAGATATAGTTGGTTCTAGTTGCTTGAATTATTTCTAGTTAAAGATTTCAAATGTGCATACATGTTTGACACACCCTATACACCCCCCCACATATATATATATATATATATATATATATGTCGTATTTAAGCAATAATCTTTCGTTTATACAAGTTTCGTAAAAGACTAACGAAACCTTTTTTGGTAAGGATATATCTGTATTTCGAACTATTATCGTAATTCTGATAAAAAATTTTAATATGCGATTTACCAACTTTGTAAGTACTTCTAGGTTTGACAAGGCATTATCAAAGAGTTGTTCTTTTATAGTATGTCGGTTTCATCTTTTTTCACGCATTTTGTCTTCAAATATCAAGTTGGAAATGAAGAAAAACTAAATGTAAAATCCCTTAACAAAGAAATTTCTTGGCCTTTAACCAATCATATGCGTGTGTGATGTGTGT